TCCTGTGCAGGGTGTGTCCTTCTCTGTGCCCCTTGCTTGCTGGGGTGGGCTCTGGCTCCCCGCTACCCTGAATTGGATACAGTGGCTAGAAAATGAATGGATCTTGTACTTGCGTCTTGTCTAAGCTTTAGGTTTAGAATTGCAGATTGAGTTCATTTCATGCTAAGGGCTTCGGTATCTTTTAATATACCGCAACGTATGCAACAATAAAGGGGCACGGCTGACCACTGTCACATATTATAAAAAAAGAAGACTGAAGAACAGCTGGTAGTTCATTCACCCCTCCTGCCACCAGAGGGCGCCCCAGAGCCAGGCTTGCGCTCAGTCTGGGCCGAGATGGAGCTGGGGGCGAGAGAGGAGCAGTGGGTGTGGGGGGAAAAACCATGCAGCTCTTCAGAAAAATAAACAAAAGCTTTTCTTGTCCATTTTTTTTTCCAGCAGCTCCAGTGAGAGGACAGTCCATCTCTCTCACCAGGAGCTGATGAGCCCTTTCGCAAAGGGCGGGGATCTTGTTCAGATCTTCCTTTGTAGGTGGTGGGGGTTTGGAGGGTGTGGCTGGGGGTGAACCCACACTTTTTCCACCCTGGTCAGCTTCTGCAGCTTCATAGGGCGTGCACCCCCAGCGGTCCAGCCTGACCCCCCCCCCTCCCCATTGTGTGGGGGCAGTGTGTTAATGTGTGAAACACCCCTGGGTCCCAGACTCCTCCTGGAAACATTCGCCAGCTCCCCAGATCTCCCCCCTCTCTCCCTGCCACACCTCCTCCCAGCCTTCCAACCCTGACAGCCCAGCTCGTGCTCTGGGCCTGGATGCTGAGGGCGAGAGAGAGAGGGAGAGAGAGAGAAAGCGTTGTTTTTCTTCCCAGGAACAGGGAGAAAGAGAAGGAGAGGGAGGGGGCAGTGCTGGATACGCCAGGGCTGGGCTGGAGCTGCTGCAGCTTCCTTGCGACCGAGCGAGTCGGAGCAGACCAGCTCTCTCTCTCTCTCGCGCGCGCACGCACACACACAGCAGGCAGCTGAGAGCCGAACCCCGAACTCTCTGGCCAGGTCTCTCCGGTCCCGACGCGCCGAGCTCCTAGCCTGTCAGGGGCGCGAGGGAGCGTGCAGCAGGAGCAGCTTTGCGCTCGGAGGATTCCCAAGAGGCAGAGATTCCCCGCGCCTCCGGGACGCCCTCCGGAAGCCATCATCCCCACAAGAAACAAGGAGGAGACAAAAAGAAGTGGTCTTCCCCCCTTCCTCGGCTCCTCCGATCTCCCGGGCTCATTTTCCC